AGAAGCCGGTAATTTGAATATTATCATTTATTAATAGATTATATTTGTTACAGAATATATTAGTGAGTTTGCATAAAAGAAAATATATGTGTTAAGAAGATAGTTGTACTTAATAAATTACTTATGTGTTGCTTGTGTTAAAAAAATGATATGTGAATTATTTTTAGATGTGGTGATACAAGAAAGCAGCGTTCAAATAGAGAAGTAACAGAAACTGTATTTTCTTCAGAAATACATTCTGTGCGACATAATCCAGCAAAATCTATTCTTGATTATGATTCCCCTAAGAGCAATCACAGCAATCGTATTATTAACTATGATTCAATTTTGAATAGCAATAATGTAGAATATAGTGTATCAAAAAATACTACAGATCTTGATTATGGATTGTCAAAAAGCTGCATAGATTATCAATCAAATCATACAACACCAGCACGAAGCATGGCTATTGTCAGTGACGGTGAAGTAGTTGTCTTTGATGACATTGATGATAACTGGCAAAATTTGCGTCTAGATTTAACTTCTAATAATACTAATCAAGTTACATCAACTAACTTAAATCTTGAAACTGAGGAGTCTCAAAGAGGTCGCATTCCACCAGAACCTCTAAGTTCTAGTATTGGAAGTTCTCCGAGCCCAACAACGGCATATCATCGTAATACTTCAGAGTTTTTTAAGGTGTTCTTCCTTTTTTATGCTATTATTGTATTTGTTTTATTTAGTGAAGTAAATGTTATACTAAGTTATACTAAGAGGAATAAATTATAGCATAAGATATTTTTAATATTACGATAAAAAATATAAATTCAAATATAATTTTAAATAAAATTTTATGTACCAAATGAAACATTTTTAGGTGATTACTCCAGCTAGTGATTGTGAAGTAGATTCACCACCTTCAGAGCGCAATCACAAAGTAACAAGAGTAATTGGTGAATTACCAATAGCACAGTATTCTGAAAGTCCGAGACGTTATGGAGTACGCGATACTCAACTGCCTTGCCTTTTGTCATCACCATCGGTATACATGACACCACGACCTGGTTTTCCACAGAGAGTATTACCAACAACTCCAAGTCATAATGAGGTATGTTTGAAACAAAGAATTATAGATTAAATTTTCTGTTATTATATCTAGTACCTTATATAGGTTTAAAATACTTTTTCTTTAATTTGATAAAATTGAAAGGATATGCTAAATAAAAATAAGTTAATTAAAAATGTGGCTTATAATTCTCTTTTTTTAATGAAATGTTTTATGTGTTTTTATGAATTAATAATTCCTGTATGTTTAATGTTTCTTTAATGTAACAATTTTCTGTTCATTTTCAAAATGATGTTTTATTTTTATATATATTTTGTTATAATAATAAAATGCTTTCAATGTTTATTTTTAGGAGGAGGACATTTCTGCAGAAATCATCGTAGAAAAGGCTGTGGTAGAAACAAATATGAATTACTCTGATGATCAAACTGTAAATGCCTCTCCTCCATCTCCTAAAATTGAAGATGAAGATGAAGACTCTTTAAAACCATCAACTATACCGACTGATAATATAAGTAATTTGGTGTCATCTGGTGGTAGTACATTTGATTATCTGTACGAATTCTCAGAAACTCGAAAAGTTCTTGAAGAATTCTTTAAATGTCCACCACCAACAAAAGAGAAAGAAAATAGTACTGAATCTTTCCCATTTCAAGTAAGAAATTTTTTTTGATTTTGTTTCATTAGAATCATTTCATAAATTTAAAAAATTATTTTTAATATTGTGCTGTATAATGAAGTTTTCAAGAGTTATATTAGATTTTTTAAAGTATCGAATGATTTCTCCTTATATCTATTTATTTCGTTGAAGTAAAATATATTAATAGCAATAATCATTGAATTTTCTAGTTTACAAAAATTAGTTCTAGTAAGATTAATTGTTAATTTTTTATTACAAACCTAAATATTTTGTAAAATGTATACTTTAAATTCAAATTTTAAAACAGTTATAACTTTGTATATTACAATTTTGATAATCTCTCTTTTCTAATAAAAGTTGAATACTTATTGTATTGAACTTACTCTAAACTAGACGTTTGTAATTATAATTTAAGGACCTTGATTATGAATTACGAAGACAAGGGGGAAGTGCTTACGTTGGTCAGCGATTAGCTAGTGGTCCACCGACAACAGAAGAAGTTTTAGTACATGAATCTCCTAAGAAACAAAGAACCGATTTTCCACAAAATGTAAGTGTATTCACGCAATGGAATTCAGATCTCAGAATACATAATTATGAATATTCACGATGGAGACATTTTTACTTAAATATTATTATTCTTTTCTTTTTTAGACTGGTGAACATGAAAACAATTTCTTAGACCTCTCAGTAGGTACTGGAAGTAGTGAAGATCTAGGAGAAACAGAAGTCGGATTGCAAGTCGGGCACTCTCGCAATTTTACGTTAAGTCCTGAAACGACAGATTGCGATAGTAATTGTGGAGATCTTGATAGTGAAGTTTCTTTAATGATGATGGATAATGAATTGATACCAGCTAGTGGTCTCCTTGGATCTGTTGGTGACTTAGGAAATAATTCAGATTCTTTGAGAATATACACTAGTATGCCAGTTCTTGAAGATGGCTTATCCAGCGGACATGCTAGTGACACTGATAACAATAATCCAACTGTGATGCTGATGAAGCGACAAATTAATGAAATTGAGAAAGAAATTATTCAGCGTAGTCGTGTTAATGATGTTACTCACCCGACTGCGGCAGAGAATGATACAGTTGGGAAAGATCTTTCTGGCTTAACTGTTAGCAAAGATATTTTACATTCTTTAAAAACTTCGTCACCTGATTTATTTGTTCCTAAAAAAGAAAACTCATATGACACAAATGAGTTACAACTTGATGGTCTAGATCCCCTTGGGACACCACCACCCCCAGCACCTCAAGCTAGACAAAGCATAAATTTAGAAATAGGTGGCGAAGTTGAAGCTGCTATTAAAGACATTAGGATGGCTTTGCAGAGGACTAAAACTTTACCTGTGAAATCTTCTACAGAAGAACCACCTGAATCTAATGTCAGTCCAATCTGGATACCAAGGTATTATACTTTCTTTTTTTTCAAACATACATTGTTCCACTTTTTTAAACATGTACGTGTTCATAATATAAATTAATGGAAAAAATTATGTTTCAATTTTAATCGATAAAATCTTATTTTTTAAGTCTAACCCCTGAAATATCAAGTATCTCTTTATATTTTTTGAATAAGCAACACATTTATATTTTAACAATATATTGTAAGATATAAAAATATGTTATAACAAAAGACGAAGTTAAAGTCATATTAAGAATGTAAAAATGAAACATGCAAAATAGTCAAATGAATTGTACAATAAATCAATTAATTATTTATATTTGTACTTAAGGCACAGTTAGTTTTTTTTAAGCACATCTAACTAAAATGTAGTATATCGGATGGCAGGCGGAGAATTTGCGTGGAGAATAACAGCGACGAATCAGAAGTTCGTCGTACAGGTGAAGATGCAGATGTTGAAATCGAGGAAGGTCCAGATGAAGAAGAAGCGGATACTGATCTCGAAACCGATCGTTTACTTGGACAACAAAGAACAGATGACCAGGGCTTCTACGACGACAAAGTAAGATTCGAAATGATAGTAAAAATTATTGTACACCTAACTGCTTTATATTTTGTTAAAAACAACATCCAACACAATTTCTTTAAAACACAACTGTCATTGACAGATGAAATAACACAGATTGAAAGACTAGTTTTAGAACATATCCTTCATATCTTCTTTAAGTTTGAATTTATTGTTTTGTTATCCAAATTGAATTTGCGTACAGTACCGCTCATTTTATGTAATAGAATATTCTAGTTTTCTTTTTGCTGTACAATTATCATTATACTTAAGAATATAAGCTTTTTGATTACATTCTGTGATAATAGAATAAAATCTTCTGAAGATTTGAGTATATGTTTACTTTTATTATTATATATTTGATTAGCTATTCATTATTATTGTTAAAAATTATCGTTATAGTTACATAAACAATATTCATTTGTATTCCAGATGTAGTCTTTACAAATATTAAAATTAGGATGTTTTGTGCAATTTTTTACTGCTTATTGTTTATTTATTTAAAATAGTATCAATAGCTGTACAGTTCTTTCTATTTCTGATCAAATGTTGAGAAAGATATTTCAGATTGAAAGTATTTTTATTTTGTATGACTGGTACTGTATGTCAAATGATATCTTGATGTCTATATGATAATAATTGGGATTCTTTTGATTCTATATTTTGTTAGTACGTAATTATTTGTATCTTAAAATCATTCTAACATTATGTATCTTTGATTTAGTAACAAATAATTTCTTACAGTCTTAATCTTTTATTTAGCAGTTTAACTTTTAAGTAATGCAAGTACATTTTAATTATGCAGTATTGAAATGTTACGAAAATAAGTTTGTAATTTATAATTAATATCAAAGTAAATTCGTTCTTCCGTGTATATTGAACGCAAACAGTTTGTAATAATTTGGGGTAGTTCAGTGAACTAATTAATTACACATGGTATAAATACAGTATTTCATAATGGAGTCTATTCACACAACTTCAATCTCTTTTGAACTTCACACTTTCTTATTCTGACTTTTATTAAAATTTGGTAAAAACATTGTTTCCGGTAATTGCAATTTTTCTGCATTTTTTGGACCCGGGAAAAACAAAAGATCACGAAAATATTACATTAAAAAAATGAAAAGAGTATAAAAATCCATATTGCCAGGAAGCTTCAATTTTTTTTTATGATTTTTTGCCGCAAGGCGCATTCCAATATCTTGTTTTGATCAAAAGTCCAATATGTTTCGGGAAATACGCATTGTAACCGTCTCCCCTCCTCACTCTGGAGTCTGATAAAAATACCGACACCGGAAATCAATGGCCCACTTACGGATCTATAAATATGCAGAATGAAAAATAAATCCAAGGTTTTTGAATAGACTCCTTTTAATATTTACTTTAAAAAAATAAGATACAATTTAGACGAATGATAAAAATTAATTACCTCCCAAAATAACTTCTGTTAATATGTTCATAAATACACAAATGCTATTAGAA